TGTCGGCCAATCATCTGATTGACTACCTTTTGCGTTGTGTGATAAAATAAACAACTTATGTGTCATTCATCGTCATTACGATTGATGAATAATGACAAGATGTCGTAGGAAGTTTGCCTAAAGACCAGAAATTCTGGATGGATAAAGTTATAACCATCTACGAGGCTGATTACCATTCCGCTGTCGTGCGGGAATCATAACATACGTCGTTCTGTAACCTTAGGTACTGTCGCATACTTTACCTGTTACAGTACGTGCACAGCCGTCGTATAATCGCTACTGTATAGTCATCGGCACGGTTGCTAGTCGACTATTTGTCATTTGCTTTGCACGGAAAATGCAGCCCAGCCAGCGACGGCTTATAATCGGCTAGGAATCGATGTAGTCCAGCGCTGAAAACGGTTTGTATGGCAGACTCACGCGTCATTCGTTTCGTTTGGCATTCAACCATTTTTGAGTACAATGCCGAATGCGATTTTAAATAAGGTCTCTATTATAGGTTGAACAGCAAAACATTTTATGTACCGACGTCGCGTTGTGCGAAATCGGTCGAACGTGGCTGATTGGCCCAATTTGGCCGACCTAGGTGCCAGCTCCGGCCTGGTACCCCAGTGACCTTGTTATGTCAGCTGTGTAAGTCGGCCTTGTGACAGTTCGAGCGAATGCTCGGTCGTTAGTTGTCGGTTGTGCCACTCATGCTGATCGCCACTTTGCCGCGCTACACTGCCAGAACGTCGCGGCGCGACGGCCGCCGCCGCCGCGTTTGCCACGTTAGCGCGGCGCCACGTTTGGAGTGCCTTTTGACCCGCTTTCTGGTCGACTCAACTGCCTCGCCCGCCAACCGATTGACCGACAACACTGACAGAGGTCTTTTCAGGTGAACCTCACCTGGCCCCGTCTCGTCTCGCCTCGCCTCTCCGCAATAAATGACTCTTTTGCTTGCTTGTCCTGCGGTCGGTCGGTGTACCACCAAGGCGACACGGTGAGCGACGCAATGACAACTGACCGAAACGTAAGCGTTGTCGCGTCGCGCCGGCTATGCTGACTATGTGGCTTCTCCCAGTGACCAAGTTGCGCAAATTGCCGCTGACGTTGTGACCCAGATTGTCGCAATCGAGCGGGCCACCGCATTCAAGGCCTGCTTGTGCTCCGACCGAATAAGAACCTGATGGATTACATTCAGTGGACACCTTTTAAAGAGAATCGGCCTCTTTCACGAAACTTCAAGGTTAATGCCGGTGCTTTTTATATAGTTCACCTACATTCTCGTTGAGTGGCAATCAAAATACTTATAAAAGGTGATTTCAGCGCCGGGTTTCAAGTTGGCCAGGCGCTTTCGATTGCGTAGGTTATTATGACGATGCAACTGCTGAATCTGTGAGGCGCTTCTCGCGGCTGAAGCGCGTTTGGGTTCGCTGGTTTCGGATCAGAGCAACAAAGCAACTTTTACCTCACAGCCGTTCCTCTCCCAACGGTGATGAGTCAACAGAACGGAGACGTTTCGACATCGGAAGCGATTCTTGATCTAGTGACCACCGCCAAAAGTGACAACGCCGTGGACACCATCGACAGACACGGCCAAAACGAACTGCTTAATCTCATCAGACTTCCGGTGATCATCAACCCGTCGAAATCGACCTCCACGGCCGTGCCTGAAATCGACTCCGGTTCAACTGCAGACACACGCACAACTTTGGCGAAGTCACCGGAGACGCTGGTCATAGAAAACGCCCAACGGTCAGCGATACCGCGTTCGGTGGACGTTTGCCATCCGACAGTAATACGTCCGCTACCGTATCCGCTCAGTGCTTTGGATTATTACCGCAACGCGATGCTGCAACTGCGGCAGGCACAGTTGCGCGTGGTTTCCGGCTGCGAACTGTCGTACGCGTCGTATCAACAGCCGTTGGTTACAAAATCTACGCCTCTACCTCAGTTGCCGATGTTTTCGCTCCTCACCAGGACGCTATCCAAGATGTGCCCCGTACAGTACTGTAACGACCAGCAGCCGATAGCGCCCAAACGCCGACCGTCATCCGTGTCCCCTGACTCCATAGCCACGTCGCATGGTGGAGTCGACAGCGGCGGCGGCAGCGGCGTCGGCGGCGGCGAATCGAACAGCAAATGTGATTCGTCGTCTCTCAATTCCCCTAGTCCCGCGGACAGTAGCGCCATATTTGACAATGGCAACCGTGTGACGTCATACGGAGACGAGCGGAAAGCGCAGCTGGTCGAAACACTGAAGGAGAAGTACGACTGGCTCAGGCACTACGCAATTGATCCCAGTCAGTACTATCAGTCGTACGGTGCCGCCGACCTCCATGGCCCCGGCTCAGGTTTCGCAGCAC